ATACTGCGCAGGACCCTCAAGCTCCCAGGCCTCTGGTAGAGGACCCGAGCTTGAAGGATAAACCGCCCGCAGGGGCGTGCTGGGTGTTTTTATAGATAGATAGATAGATAGATAGATAGATAGATAGATAGATAGATAGATAGATAGATAGATAGATAGATAGCGTTAATCCCCTCAATGCAGATCGAGAGACTTCAGTGCGCATGCACGTTAAAACTGGTGGCACGCAGAGTTCTCAAGATCTTATTGTTGGTTTTCGCTTTACATTTCTGATTACTATGAAAGAAGATTTAATAGTATTTTTTCTATATTCATTCATTTTAATATGTGTATTTTCTCTTGTTGCCAACGACTGGTTTATCTGACGGATTTTTAGATTGATCTCATTTACTAATTCATTTTTAAAAATAAAACTGCCGTTTGTATAGCGTTAAAATAAATACGTGTGTTTTGTTTAGTTGTTTTATTGCTGACTGATATTATTTTATTAGATATTATCTACTAATGGAACTTGAAATCCACCCTGAATGATTGACTGGAGTGTTTACAGTGCTGCTTTACACTCACACGCTCGCTCCTCTGTCCCTGTTTTGTTAGGAGAGAGAAGGGAGTGGCGCGGCTCAAGAGTGGAATTTCACTTCCTGTATCTCAGGTGAGTCACCTGGGCTATGTCGTTGACTCCGTGGTTTTTGCCGACATCAAACAGGTTAATCTCTTCTGAGTTTCAGTCTCGTAAAGCGTCAGCTCAGTGTGGTAGCACTCAGATACGTCTTGTGGAACATCAGGAAGTTGTTAGTTTCTCGAGAGTTTAATCAGAGTCGACTGCCGAGGAGGAGAAGTGTTGTTTAGCTTTGAGGCCTAAACTGGTCTCTCTTTTTAGGTTGTTTTTTGTTATAAGTTTTCCCAACTGTGGCTGTTTTTATATATATATATTGAACCGATTTCACTTTCACTTCTGGATTTTATTTGCGTCAATTTGCCATTGTGGGACTCTTATTTTAAAATAATGTATTCATTAATTAAAGGACGATCGGGTGCGTGTGCGCTGCTGCTCTTGTTACTTGTTGTAACCACCGCTGGTCAGCAGGTTGGTGAGGAATGCTTGGCCCAATTCGAGAAAGGTCGGGATGACTTTGTGCTCGATGCCGACGGATCTGTGAAAGACGGAGCGACGTTTATTTCGTCGCCGAAACTGTATCGACACAAGGACTGCGTGCAAGCCTGCTGCAAAGATTCCAGGTGCAATGTCGCCTTCATGGAGGAGGGAGAGGAGGGAGGCACGATCAGCTCCTGCTTTCTCTTTGATTGCCTGTACAAACAGAAATACGTTTGCCACTTTGTTGGGAAGAAAGGATACGACAGTTATATCCACAAGAACATTTTTAGCAGGTATCATGTTAATCACCCCGACCCAGGTAAGGCCAAAACTCACAAAAGAATATTTGTCATAGTGTTGTTAGTTATGCCTTTGTGAATATCTGACATGCATACGGACTATAACTGTGGGAACATCCAGTAGTGACATTTCTTTTTTCTAAGGAACCCAACTTCACAACAGACATTATGAGGGTGTCCTGTTTAAATGCTTAAAGGTCATGAATTTGCCAAATTTGTTAGCACACTCCGATAATTAAATCCACTAGTTTTGATTCACCCTGTTTTTGTTTTGTTTAATGATAACAAGCATATCTTGTTCTTCATATCTATGGCAGTAATCTTCAGTTTTGCGTGTTCCTACATGCCTGGAAGGGTTAGCATGTTCATCTCTCTTCAGCTTGTTTAGTTGCTTGTACTGTTTTAGTTTTGTTGCTTATTTCTTTTACATTTTCTGTTAAAACTGGTCAAAATGTGATTCCCACTAATCTCACGGTTTCGCTCTAGATACTGATGACCGTCGTCCAGTGGCCGATGGAGGTCCGGGCCAGGTGATCCAGCCTCATGAAAGCCTGGTACTGAATGGTATGAAAAGCAGAGATGACAAAGGGATTGTGTCCTACAAGTGGAAAATGCTCACTGAATATCTATATGCTGTCTATGAGGTGAGGAGAGTGACAAACCTGAGTTTACCACCATTATTTTAAGACGATGGCATTTATTTATAGGAATATCTGCTATAACTGTATTGATTCCACCTGCTGTTTCACTAAAAAAAGCGTGAGACACTGTCTTTATATGCCCTACAGGACATCCAATTTAAAGACCAAATGGTTGTTTCCAACCTGACATCTGGGAAATACAGGTTCCAGCTGACTGTTACGGATACTATCGGCCAGTCGGATTCAACCGAAGTTAAGGTCCTCGTCCTCACTCCTGAGCAGTCTGAGCGTGAGTATCTAGTCTGAAAAAAGATGCTGTTTGAACCTTCAGCATGATTTGAACATACTGGGATTTAAATTATGTGGTGGCTGTGGCTCACGAGGTGGAGCAAGGAATCTACTATTTGAAGGATTGGTGGTTCTATCCCTGACTTCTCCAGTCTGTATGCCAAAGTATCCTCTGGCACGATCGCAGTTGGAAGGTTAGATAGAAGGGTTAGGTGTAGAACAAAGGTGCTTATTTCTGTTATTGAGGCTGCTGTATAAAGCACTTTGAATGCTGAAGCAGAAAAGTGATATCTAAGAGTCAGTCCATGTATCTGTTTTTAAGTTTTAAATGGAGAGAGAACCTTACCCTGTAGATCAGAGTCTTCATGACATGAATACCGCGCTGCCAGTCCGAAGCTGGAAATTACATCTCAGCTTGGAGTTGGCCCATATGTTTCATTACTTGATAGACTGGCAGGAGCTATGGTTCAGTTTCAGTTGTAATGAGTCATGTTTTCCTCCGTATCGTATTTGTTGACATTTTCTTTAATGGGGTCAAGACGTCCTAATTCAGATATTTCCCCCAAAAAAATAATTTTGTAAATATATGGATTATTTATTTTAATTAATTAATTTTCTGTTGCATCACCCTGACCCTGGAATATTAAACATTTCCAAGCAGCTTGTTTTCAGTTGCTCCTTGAAGTCCTTCCATGTTGGCAGACATGTCACAACATGCTAGAATCATTCCTGTGGACAGAGTGACATGACAACATGAACAGAGAGGGATAAAAGCTTGTGTTTTAAAGGGATTACACCTAATTCTAAGACTCTGGGGAAGGAGGGCTGGTAGCAGGAAAATGAACTTTGGAGCACAAGCGACTGGTTTAATATTCTCCTTTTGTGTGAGGGGAAGTAATATCCAGGTCGCTTCTGTTGTAAAATACCACAGTAAGGCGACATGACGCTCTCTGGAGAAAACGGAAGTGAGCAATCTCAATCGGTGTGGTTTTTACTGTTCCCCCGATACCATCACTCCTCCCCCAACTCAGAAGAACCTGTCAGTCTGGTTTCTGCTTAGGCGGCACAAACAAAAAGTCAATGTCCGTAAATGTTAGTGTCTGTACTAATTAAGTCATTTAAAATCTGTTGTTTTTAAAAAATACGTGTGCGCTATAGGGGGTTGTCTTTTGCTTAGTTCTGCATCTGCTGGTTGATTATATAGTGAAGGACAGGAAAAGATTTCTAACCATGCAGTTGGTTCAGTCACCCATTAACAGGTTTAGTGCTGAATAATGTTCAGGAATGCTTTCTGTGGAATATGTGTGATTGTTGCTGAGACTTGCCTTTGTGTCAGTGCCGCGACTCTTGCATGACAATTCTTGCCATTCATGAATGAAGAAATAATACGAGAACTTACTAATTAAAGTGCAGCTTATACTTCCAAATGCTACGTTTCCTTTTCCAGTGTAAAAAGAATCTGTATGATCTTTTGTGTCATTAACCACATTCGCATGATCTGTAGCTCTTTTGTTCTCCACTTCTTTTTTCTGCTCCCTCTTTCTGTCTGGACGGCAGTTTCATAAGTAATTATCTGTCTGCTCTCAAGACAACAAGGAAGCACACGTCAAAGAAAATCTCATCAAATAAAGTATCGCGTATGAGACAGGACAGCTGTCTCATACGATTGATCAGATTGGATTATGGACTTAAAGCAAGTGTCATATTGTTAATTTGCTTCAGAAAGTCATCTGATTAACATTTAAAGCATTGACTAATAGTGAATCACTTTATATTTGTTGATGGGGATCTGTTTTACGATTTCTTTTCAGCTACTTTTCAAGTTGGACTCTTTTAGAGTCATTTTGATGAATTAAATTCCCATATTATCCTTATTTATCTTAACACAGGGCCTTGGCGCAGTATCTTGATTCATCCACTGTTTGACTTATCAGCACGAGTGCTTGGTCTTAAAGGGAAAGGTGCTAATTGCCCTTTAAGCCAACTTTCTTTAATTGGCTGCCCCTGACACAGATAATATTTGAACAGCAGGTGTGTGAGGTTTCTGTCCTCATACCCAGAGCCGAGTGATAAAACATACATGAGGGAAGAGTGAGCGCTTAGAACAACCTGAATCCTTTGGCCTCACAGGGGTTTCTTGCACACACGCTGAGCTCATAGCTTGAAACTCTGGCCGTGTTTAATAGGATCTTAGCAGCATTTATAGTACTGAAAATAAGAAAAAGCACAATTTGTTTCCTCTTAAAGTCACAAAGAAATGGCCTTTTGATAAGCTGTTGACAGGTTTCATATTTTCAAGTGAACACATACAGGCTGTGAAGTTACTAGTGAAATTTAATGTGTGGTGGAGTAAGTTAGCTGTGATTCAAAGGTAATCCTTTTTATTTTGTGTCCCATCAGACCACTGTATGGCTCCGAAGAAGGCTGGACCGTGTCGTGGCTCTTTCCCTCGGTGGCATTACAATGGCGCCGAAGAAAAGTGTGAGGAGTTCTTATTTGGGGGCTGTAGGGAGAATCTCAACAACTATCTCACTGAGGGCGAGTGCGTTAAGGCCTGCCACGGTTCAGGTACCTGTGATCAATGCTTTTATTCTTCTGTTTGTTGTTTTTCATTTAAATGACTGACAGATCATTAATATGTGTGTGTGTCAATTCACTGAAGGGGTTTACATTACAGATTATAAGAGGATATATATCTAGAGAACAAACTGTAACTGCTTGCCCTGGTATACATCTTTTACATTTTCAAGCCCTGTTTTAGAGCATTCCCTTCAATTTAAAACAAGTGTTTTTGCCACTGAGTGTCAGGTTCAGGTCTAAGCTTTCGTTTGAGTAGTTACATCAGCACAGACAGAACTGTGTCAGAGATCCAGCCCTTTGAGCACACAGAGCCCAGAGCTGTGAGACTTTGGCTTTGTTTCATTCTCCAAATAGCTCCTGCTGTGAGAGGTAATCACGTGAGCCTGCAAGTGAAGATGAACTATTATTATTATTATTTTTTAAATAAAGGAAAAATCAAGTAGAGACTTCAAAGCCAATATCAAGGCTTGTTCCAAAAAATGCCGGTGAACACGATTCTAATGGATAAGTGCAAAGTCCTTTGTATGGTAAAGAAAATGTACACTTATCTCTGCACAACAAATCAAGACTGCTCTCCAGAGTAGGTGTAAATGTCTCCTCAGGTGCATTAACAGAAAACATAGAAGTAGTAGTAATACAATACAAAATATATTAATTGATTATTTCAAAACATTTGAAAAATTGAAAACATCCCCCCAGGTGTTATACTGTCTGATCGCCCAAGGGACAAAATACCTCCTCAGCCTCTCTGCTGAGTGATTCTGAGATAGCAGACTTTTGCTGAAAGTTGTCGTCTTTCTGCCTGAAGAGGTGAAATGTCACCGTCAGGACACGTCAGTGACCTGATCTAAAAGCTCGGTGTAATTCTCCAAGATTCTCAGATACAGTTGTTTTGGTCTGGATTTAAATCTATTCAAATTTAAGATGGGAATTAACTGTACTTTTGTTTCAATTCCACTGTAATAATTGTTTTTAAGATTTTACTTCTTTTTTTATGGCTTCACTGATAGTTTGGAATTAAAAGAAATGAACATTTCTTCTCCTTAAGATTATCAAACCCCTTTTTATTTGAGGAAAATCTCAATACTAACGTCTTTCTGTAGCTTACTCCCTGGTAAAAAAAAATTAACAAATCATTTTCATTTAATCATAATCTCCTTTTGTTTTCTCTATTTCAGTAAAAGGATCTGGTAGAGGTTTACCAATTCTTAAAAATCAAGGTAGGTAAATGATGGTCACGGAACAAAAGACTAGAAGCCTCATGTGCACAACTGGAAATGCATGTCTACTTTTTCTACTCTGTTTTTCTTGGTCACCTCAGTGTTGCTCTCACAGTCTCTGATGCCAAGCTGAATGGTTCCTAATGAGGGACTGGCTAACATGTAAAAGTGATTTATTTACTTTTACAAATGTATTTGTACTGACACATAGTTTCATATTTACACAATTACACCATCAGAATTCCCTTGAAGCTGTGTTTCTGGCCATTTGACAAAAACCTGTTCTCACAACCAAAACTATGTAAATTTATGGCCTGACTGCTAAGTTCACCGCAACTCTAGGTGATATATATATATA